TTTAAATGTAAATCTCACCCAAAAACACCCTCGCAGAAACGTCCAGAATAATGTTTGACCAATATCGGGGCACTGTGGCCCAGCCAAGTTGACATACAAAATTAGTCATTACACACGTTTTTCTGCACCTTGCTTTTCCTTTTTTAACTGAACAGTGTATCTTGTAAATCGCTCCCAATCGGTACAAGTCTCAATCTTTGTAACGTTGCGTAGTATCCTGTTGTACTGCTGGACGCTGAGCTTGTTTCTGATCTTTTGCTGTTACAAAAACGCAACAAATATTCTTTGGATGCACAGCTTTGAACAGATGTGCAAATATAATGTTGTATAGATTCTTAAAAATAGAATTCATGGAACAAATAATTTGTGCATTTTAAATTTGAGGTTGATGTGCCAAATTTCCCTCCATAGAAGTTGTATAAATTTACACTCCCACCATAAAGGATGGGAGGGCATCCTACTCTCACCTTGCCAACACTGACTTCAAACTTTTCGGCTTTTGCCAATATGCTGAGAAAAAAATGGCCTCTCAGTGTAGTTCTAATTTGTACCTCTCTTACTAGGTGTGGAGTTGGGCAATTTTTCATATGCCGAAGCCATTGTGTTTTCATTTTTTTTAATTGTCCGCTCATGTACTTTTCTCATCTTCTCTATTGGTTGCTGGTCTTTTTCTTTTTGATTTATAGATGCTCTTTATACATTAAGGAAACAAGCCCACTACCTGTCATACGTGTTGCAAATATTTTCCCCACTCTGGCATTTATCTTTTTCATTTTGTTTGTGATGGGGTTTTCCATGCACGAAGTTTATATTTTTTACTGAAACAGTCAAATGTGCTGGTCTTTTCATTTATGGCTTCTGAGTTTTGTGTCTCGCTTAGAAGGAACTTCTTTTCTATGAGATTATTAAAAACAGAAATCTGGAGTTTTTTGTTGTTAGTTATTTTTGTTGGTTTTGGTTTTGGTTTTGGTTTGAGTACCAGGAATGAGGTAGGGACCCAATTTTGTCTTATTTTATTTGTAGATTGTCACCCAATGAGGCAAACACCATGTACAGAATAATCCATCCGTCTCTCACTCACATGAAAACATACTGCTATCAATGCACGCGTTTGGGTCGCCTTCTGGAACCGCCGTTCTGTGCCCTTCACGGGTCCATCTCGTCAGAGGCCAGCCCTGAGCTGCCACAGCGGTGGCGGCTTGAGTTGATACTTTGTATCTGACAAGTCAATCCCTCCGCATTCCTCTTCCTTCACAGTTTTTTCCGGCCTTGGTCTCGCAAATTCATTTTCCCATATGAATTTCAGGATCAGTTTAACAGGCTCCAAAAGATAACTCGCCATCATCTCTATCTTCCCCTGAGTCTCTCACCAGAGTTTTCTCATGTCCCTTTACAGTTTTTTTCATGCAGACGTTGAACATTGCTAATTAAGCTCGTTCCGGGGAATTCCATCTATTTTGTCCCTGTCGTCAATGATTCTTTTCTCTGATTGCGGTTCTCTGTCTGCTGCGCCCGGGTAGGAAGGCTGTGGAATCTCTTAAAGGGCTTTACTAGGGTCCCTTGGATCTCCCAGCTATGTAATCCTGTCCCCTGTGAATAACAATGTAACTCCTCTTTTCCAGTTTTTATATATCTTCCTTCTTTCTCTTGGGTATCAGTGTCGACTAGGACGCCGAAGAGGGGAGGGGCAGAAGGTAACAGAACAGGTGAGGGCAGACATCCGAGCCTTGTCCCGTGTGTGGAGAGAGAGGTCTTCTGCTTCAGGACCATAAAGATTCACAGATTCCTATTTTAGGAGGATTCTTAAAAAATTAAGAAAGGGGGCTGGCCCACTGGTGCAGCGGTTAAGTGTGCACATTCCGCTTTGGTGGCCCGGGGTTCGCCGGTTTGGATCCCGGGTGTGGACATGCCACCGCTTGGCACGCCATGCTGTGGTAGGCGTCCCACATATAAAGCAGAGGAAGATGGACACGGATGTTAGCTCAGGGCCAGTCTTCCCCAGCAAAAAAGAGAAGGATTGGCAGCAGATGTTAGCTCAGAGCTAATCTTCCTCAAAAAAAAAAAATAAAATTAACAATGAATGTCGTTTTTCCCCAAATGCCTTTTTAGCATCTATACAGAGGATCAGATGATTTTTCCTTTGACCTATTAATACAATGAGTTATGTTACTAGCACCCTTTACCTGAGACCATCTTGCATTTGGAATGTCCTGTTCTTATTTTAAGGTGCCCCTGATTCCTGTGGCTACTATTTTATTTAGGATTTTACACTGATGTTCACAGCAGCGGGGGTCGGGGGGGGGGGGGGACGAGTCTGTTGTCTCCTTAGAGAAATCTTCGTGAGCTTGAGGAATTTCTTTCTTCTTTCCCGTGCTCCGGAATATTTCAATCACCTTGTGGCGCTCTCTTCTTTGACGGTTTGGTAGAATTCTGGAAATGTGTGAAACGGCGTAAGCGGGGGTTGTGGGGGCAGAGGACTCGTCGTTTAACAAACTTCTCTCCTTCCTCTCTAGTAATTGATCTATTTAAATTTCTGTCGTCTGATAACAGCTTGTCTGCTCGTTCGTACTTTCCCAGAAAATCGTTTCACCCAGTTCTTCCAATTTTTTGGCACCAAGTGCAAAGTATCTTTCGTATTTCTCCTCGTTTCCTGTTTCTCTCTCATGTCACACTTGCACGCCGCCAGCTTGCCACACTGCTAGAAACGCTTCAGAACCGTCCACCCTGGGGGTGACCTGCCATTTCTCTGTGTGGTTTCACCTTATTCCATGGTTCCCCTGGGGTTTTCGAAGATGACAGTTGCGCCATCCACCCCCCACCGTGGTGAATATTCCATAGCCACTCTTCTCGGGTAACTGGCTATTTGCAATGTTTGGCTATTATGACGAACATCCTTGCATATAAAGCCCTTTCTATATTTAGAATCATTTCCTTGGGCTGGATTTTCTGGATCAAAGGCTGAGCGTGTTTTTCAGGCCGATTGACTTTCCAGAACCGTTGTTCTAACTTGCACTCCCACCAGCAAAACACCTAGGTCACGTCCTGCTCCCTCCTTCGCCTGAAACACTCCATGGGGCTCCAGTGCCTTCCCACAGCCAGCAAGACGCCCTCAGGCTGGTTTCTGCCCGACGCCCGATTTCTTCTCCCTTCCTCTGTTCCTGCTACTCCGGCCTTCTTTTTTTCTTAACTATAGAGCTTTCTCTGACCTCAGGACTTCGCGCTGGCTGATCCCTCTGCCCGGAGCACATTTACTTACCACAAACCTCCCACCGTGGGCGCCTTCCCATTGTTCAGGTCTCTCAGTTCCAGTGTCACCTTCTAGAGCGGTCTTCCCTGACCCCTAGATGGTGACGGGCGCCCCGGCCCCATAGGCTCGCTCTCCGTAGGCCCTCACTCCGTCTATTGTCTCCCAGGCATCGGACGCCTCCCGGAACGAGAGTACCCCATTATTGCCAGTGTCCCCCATGAGACTGAAACCCAATGGGGCAGGGATTCCGATGTGTCCCTCGTACCTGTAACAGTTTCACACACACGCAATACCTTTTGTTCACGCCCAGAACAGCCCGGCCTGGCTCCCTGCCGGGCTGAGGGTCCCCTTTCAGAGCTCCAGACCCAGGGGAGGGCGCAGGCTCGTCAGCTCGGATGAACCACTGGGAACGGCTGGCCATCTCCCCCAGCAGATGACGGGCAGGGGGCCGCCTCCCACCCCTGAGGGCACTAGCAGCATCCTCCCAGCACACTTCTCTCAGCACCCGGTTCAGTCCACCCTTAAGCAAGTATTTGGCTCCTGCTGTGTGCAGGCACTCTGCCCAGCACTGAGGATCCAGAGGAAGGCGAGGCAGGCTCTTACTCCTAGGGGGCAGGGGCGTCCTCTCTCAGGAGAGAAGGGCAAGGCCTTGAGGGCCGGTGCTGAACACAGCTGTGAACGGAGGCACCTCTGGGGCCTCCTGGTTGATGGCAGGTGGTCTCAAGGCAGGAGGAGGAGCTAGTTGGATGAGGGGGGAGGCTGGCGCGTGCCCTGCAAGCCCCTGTGTTGACCCCACCCAGCTAACTCTGTCGTGGGTGGGGAGGGGACTTGCCTGATTCCCATGGACAGGCCTGGGCTCCGGAGGGACCCGGGGCACGCTGCCTCCCACCTGGTTCCTGTTCTCGCCTTGTGCAGACCCCTTTCCGGGCAAGGAACCTCCCTGCGACCCCATCACTGGCTCCTTTGCGGTGCCAGGGCCCCGGTGGGCTCCTCCCCCGGGGCAAGGGTTCCTGAGCCTCAGCACAGTCTCCCTGAGGGCCACGTCACAGACGAGGACACCGAGGCACGGAGACAAGGGTGCTCAGCTGGCAACCCTGAGAGCAGGATTGTAATTCCACCTGGGAGAAAACTGAGGTTGCGGGATGCAAAAGGACCTAGTCAGGGTCTGATCCCACGCTAGGGGGAGAGGAGACTGGGCAGCGGGTGGGGACCAGCCGAGGGAGCGGCACAGGGGGCGACGATGCCCCCAGACCTGGCTGGAATCGGTGCTCTGCACGGGCTCAGCCCGCGGCCTCCTCCTCATCCTTCAAAACTTGGGAGTCTGGTCGTCTGGGTGACCTGTCACACCCACCCACCCTGAGTCGCAGACCTCCCTCCCTGGCGAGGGGACCCGGGGGCGGGACTGGGGCAGTAGCCCTGGGCACCAAGGCCGGGAGGTGGGGATGGGGGGAGGTGGGCTAGATCAGCCGCAGGTCACCGGGAGGTCACCGGGGCCACCATGCCCCCCTGGGGTGTCAGCCTCCGCCCCATCCCCGCCTCTGCGGGGGGCCGCGGGATGGGGAGATGAGGGGGAGGAGAAGGAGGAGGAGGGAGAGTATGGGAAGGCGGGGCGGGATGGGGAGGAGGAGGGGGGAGGACGGGAGGAGGGGAGGCGGGGGGGGGCTCGCCGTGGGGGCGGGCCGGGGCGGAGCGCGGGCCCCCGGCTGTGCTCGCCGCTGCGCTGCGCTGCGCCCCCCGGACGCGCTCGGCGACCCGGGCGCGGCGGAGGGACCGCGGAGGACGTCGGCCGCGCCCGGCCCGAGGCGGGGTGCGGGGCGCAGCGGGCCGGGGCGCGGGCGCCCAGGGGTCCCGGCGCGGGGGCGGTGGGCGCGGGCGGGGCCGGGCGCGCCGAGGACCCCCGGGCCGACCAGGTAAGCGGTCCCCGCGGAGGGGCGGGCGGGGCGGGCGCGGCCGGGGCGCGGGGACCTGTCGGAGCCTTTGTCTGCGGCGCGCGGCCCCGCGCCGCGCCCCCTCCCCCTCCGCGCCGGCTCGGGCAGCCGAGGCCAGGGCCGGGGGCGCGTGACCCTGGGGACTCTGAGACCCCCGCCTGACCCCAGTCCCTGTCCCGGGAAGAGAGGGCGCCCACCTCCACCGCTCGTCCAGCATCCGAACCGGGCCAGCCCCACGCCAGCCCAAGTGTGAGCGCAGGACCCAGACCCGGGAAGGAGGAGAGTGGCCGGTGGCCCGAGGCCATGCCCGGGCCCTGGCGCCCCCTTCTCCCCGGGCGCCTCCTAAAGGTCCTTCCACCTGAAGTTCCTCCTGGCCCCCCTCCGCCCCATCTCACCGCTTCCCCAGCCAGCCCCCTCCTACTTCTGGGGAGAGCCGGCTGGAAGAGGCGGGGCCTGTGCCCGGGGTCACCTCGCGGTGGTGGCCCGGGGAGTCTGTCCTTTGCCTAGGGGCGCAGGCCTGGGAACCAACTTTGTTGCTGATGGGGCCAGGCAGGCAGAAGGCGCTTGGGGGTGGGGTGCTGCCAGCGTCTACACCTGCAGAAACCAAGGCCAGGGGCAGGGGCTGGGTCCTGGCTGCTCTGCCACCAGCCAGCTCCTGAGGCCAGTGCGTTTGCCCGTCCTCCGGGAGCTGCAGGAAGGGAGCGGCTCCAGGGTCTGGAAACTCACTTTCCCGTGAGCAGAACCCACTGGAGGAGCTGGGGCAGTCGAGAACCGGGGCTGGGGAAAGGGCTGCAGAGGAGGCACCAGGCGGCCCAGGCACAGGGGCCCAGGGCCGTCCCAGGGCGTCCACTGGCCAGGGCTGGACACCCCCAGGGAGCAGGAGGCCGGAGGAGGGCCAGCGGGCTGGCTTTCCAAATGCAGTTCGGGTCCCTCGTTCCCTCTGGCTGGCTGGAGGCGCCACGTGCCTGGAGAGGGGTCAGCCTGGCCTTGGGGTCCAGACACCCAGCACCTCCACGATGCCTGGGGCTCCTTTGGAACCAGTGTCCTCTGAGTCCCTGCTGAAATGGGGGAACGAAAGGAGGCCCAGCGGGCTGTGTGAGCCCCAGCCTCGGCTCTCTGTGCCTCGGTCTCCCTTTCTGCAGGGTGGGGGCATGAGCCGGCCTCTCAGGACTCCTGGGGTGGGGAGCCCTCTCCGGCCCCCAGCAGTGCCCCGAGGTGGTGGCCTGTGTGACTGCTGAACTCCCCCCGTGCCCCCCCACCCATGATTTGTGAAGTACTTTCTTACCCACCAGAGGGAGGTGGGCAAACTGAGGCCCAGGGCTTGAAGCAGGGACCCGTGAGCTGAGGGCCAGAGCAATGCTCTGGGTCTTCTCAGCTGCTCTCCGGGCGGGCACCCAGGGGTCCTGATGGGGTGGGGGCTGCAGAGAGGAGCCCCGTGCATGCTCTTAAGTTTTAACTCAAGGAGGACACAGAAGCGAGTGGGGAGGGTCTGAGGCCCTGGGCTGCCCCGGTGCAGCGGGAGGGGTCTGAGGAGGGGCGAGTAGAGCCTGCGGCCCAGGAAGGGGGGCCCCCTCAGTGCACCCCTGCCCCACCACCCTGTGAGACCTGCCCTCTGGCCAGGCCAGTGAGGTCGTGTTGAGGGGCCATGGGGCCACGGTAGGGGGAGCCAGATCCCCCTCAAGGAGGGGGCCTGGAGGAGCACGCGGGGACAGTGGCTGGGGCGGGCAGTGTGGGTGACCGAGCCAGAGGGAGCTGTGGGGCCGCCTGCTGGCTGGATGCTGAGCACGTCCGCGGCCGGTGGCGTGGCCTCTGGCGGGGCGGAAACCTCAGCGTGGAGGCAGGCATGTCTGGGCGCTGCTGGCTTGGGGACCCCTGGCTGAGCCCGGGCCAGGGGTCAGGGTTCGGCTGTCCCCTAGGCTGGGCTCACGTCCTCAGAGGGCTGGAGGGAGGAGGGTTCCGTAGCTGGAAGCTGGGTGGGTGGGGCCTGAGCATCTCCAGGCCTCCAGCGCAGGATCCTGGCCAAGGCCACGGTCACTCAGATCCAGGCCGAGCTTGGTCCCCCAGCTCCAGTTGTGGCAGGAGGCCCAGGGTGGGGGAGCCCAGGAAGAGGACTGAGCCTGGAGGGGAGTGACACCTGCTCCCCAGACCCCCGAAGCGGGAGCCCCCGACCCCCTTCTCCACTGCTCTTGGGGCCCATCAGCCAGGTCAGCCCCCCGTTGTCAGGGCCAGAATATCCCCAGTCCCCAGGACTGACTGGAAGCAGGGGCGTCTCCAGCTCCCAGGCCCTGATGAGAACTCTCCATGGAGAATTAGCTAAAGAGGAAGGAGCCAGGAGGAGGCGCTCAGTAGCTGGTCAGCACCACCCATCTGGGGGCTAGCGAGTGGGTAAACTGAGGCAGGAGAGCGGGAGAAAATGAGATGAAACGGGGGGGAGCAGGGAATGGCTGTGTGCCAACCTCAGAGAAAATCAGAGTAACTCAGGCACGTGGGGTCCTTCTCCCGGCTTCTTCTGCGGGTTCCACCACACATGCTCACCGGCTGGGAAGGCAGAGGTGCCATCCTCAGTGCCCGATGCCATGGTGTCCCATTTCTGTCCCACGTTCTCTACGAGGAGCAGGTATCCTTTTTGCAATCAGATGAGTGAATAAAAGTCCTTAGAAAAACAAATCGATAAAGTTTTAGGGAAAAAACTAGACTTCCCCCCACCCAGCATTACCTACACAGTAGGGGGAGCGTCTCTCCATCGTGCATCAGTTAGCTCCTTCCTTCCCTCCAAAGACAAGGGCTGGCAGATTGGAACTGAAGCAAGAGAAACTGAGGCAAGAGCAAAGGAAGCACTTCCTGCCCCTGAAGGTGGTTGGCCCCAGAACGGAGGGCTGGGGTGTCCCACAGGCCTGTGTTTGGGTCCGGGCTCCACCCCTGACAGCCTGTGAGAGTGGGGTGACGGGGCAAGGGGGAGTGACTGTCTCACCCTCCTTTTCCTTGGCTGTAAAATGAGTGACTGTCAGCAGCCCTCCCGGAGGGAGACGATACGTGGGACACTGAGCACAGAGCTGGCACACGAAGTGTTCACTAGTGTCTGTGTTCTGACTGCTCACCAAGTCCTGGCGTTCCACCTCCCAAATATTTCTCCGCTCCATTGATTTCTCTCCCTGCCCACTGCCGTCACCCCCAGGCAGGCCTCCGTGCCCACTGCCACCACCCCCGTGCAGGCCTCCGAGGCCACTGCCGCCACCCCCACACAGGCCTCGGTCGTTGCTCCCCACTGCAGCGAGGCTGGGCTTCTTGACACAGATCATGTGATGTCACTCGTCCGCTTGGGTTTGCGCCCTTCATGGCGCTGATTCGAAATCGGTGGAAGGAATTGTGAGGACAGCTCCGGCAGGGGGCGGTGCAGGCTCGGGGCTCAGCCGTGGGGCGTGGGGGTCCCTCCTCGTCACCCCCTCAGCTCGCCTCCTCTCCTCTCCCCCCAACAGCACGGGCAGCCATGGGCTCCGTGGGAAGCCAGCGGCTCCGGGAAGCTGGTGCAGCAAGCCCGTGGGACAGGAGCATGGTCATGAGCTTCAGCTTCGACGGCGGCCAGCTGGAGGAGGTGGCGGTGGGTACTGCTCGAGGCCAGGCTGATGGGCCCGGGGGCACCCCAGTTTCTCCAGACTCTGGTGAGTGAGGGTGTGGGCAGGGCGTGTGTTTGGCCCCGAACAGGACCTGGGCACGTGAGCCCTTGGGGCCTGGGGGACAGGAGTCTGGGGTGGGCATGGAGTAGGCAGGCCATGTCTGTCAGGACGGACTGGATATGCTGCGTAAGAAACAATCCCGCTGGCTCCGTGCCTCCAGCCCAATGCCGTGTGCCCCGTGCAGTCACTGAGCCAGGCTGCGGAGGCTCCGTCTTACGGGGGCTCCCATGACTACCAGGCAGCAGAAAGGGCAGCTGGTGAACCACGCACTGACCCAGACTGCACGTAAAACTTCCATCTGGAAGTGACACAGGCCACTTTGGTCACATTTCATTGGCCAGAGTAAGCCACGCCTCACTTCAGGGCAGATGGGAACGTGCCAAAAAGGAGGAGGATGGCCATGAGGTTCAGAGACCTGATTTTCCATCCGGCTGTATGACCTTGGGCAAGGGCCTAAACCTCTCTGAGTCTCGGTTTCCGCACCTCAAGGGAATAGGCCGGGTGCCTGTGAGCTCAGACTTGCAGAATGGGCGGCGCATGAATCTGGAGTGAGACAGATTCGGGCTCAACCCCAGGTCGCATCCCCCGCCTGCTTGGGGACCTGGGGTAGGTCACCATTCTCTGGGCTTGGTGTCTTTATCTGTGAAAGAGAATGCTCCTGGTGCCACCTTCAGTGTGCTTGGGAAAGAATCCGTAAGCCGTTGCTTGGGACTGTCCTGGGACTCAGGGCCCCCATACGTGAGAGCTGTGTTTGGGGGTCTGGACTGTACTAGCACCCCTGCAGGCTCAGAAGTGGGGGCTTGTTCCCTGGCCCCATCCCCTCTCTTTGCAGATGGGGAATGGAGGTTCTGCCGGACGAGCCCTGGGGTGGGCTGGGATGGCCTCGCTCCTCCTGAGTGCGTGCACAGAGCCAGCTCGGGGCCGTCCCTGAGGTGCCAGACTTCTCCTGGTCAGGTGTGGCCAGAGATAGCATGTGGCGTGTGCAGCCACGGCCACAGACGTGGATGGCGGCCGTGGTGGCCGTGACAGGGGCGGTTTGAACTGTACTGGCGTTGCTGATAGTGTCTGGATCAGTCACTTGGTGGCTCACCCAGAGAAAGAGAGGCCGTAGGAGATGGACAGACAGAGGGGAGACAGACAGAGGGCTGTCGATACATGCAGCCTTAGATCTGTACGTTCACATACGGGTTTATGGCAGGAAATGGGCTTGCTGACGTGGAGGCTGGCTAAGTCGGAGTCCGTAAGGCAGGTGGTCAGGAAGGAAGATCACAAACAGGCTGAAACCCCACAGGCGCGAGCTGTTGGGGGTCTCTGAGTGCTGGGAAGACCTAAAGGTTTTGCCTGATTAGGTCAGGCCCACCTGGAGCGATTTCCGTCTTGATTAATTTAAAGTCCACTAAGGAGGCAGCAGCATCTCCATCAGTGCTTGACTGAATCACTGGGGACTATTCGGCCTGCCAAGTGGACCCATACAACCGACCGTCACAGTCCACCCTTTGCCAGCTTGGCTCCCATACACAGCTCCTTAAACCACGCTTTATCTCCAAATAAAGGCACTAGCAAAGTCGTGCCACCACCTCGCATGACGTAACTAACCCCTGTACAACCAACACCACCCCAAGCCTTTCCACAGAAGATGCCAAATCCTGTGTGCTGTTACACAACCCCCCCGTTTTGTTTTTTTTTTTTTGAGGAAGATTAGCCCTGAACTAACATCTGCTGTCAATCCTCCTCTTTTTGCTGAGGAAGACTGGCCCTGAGCTAACATCCATGCCCATCTTCCTCTGTTTTATATGTGGGACGCCTGCCATAGCGTGGCTTGCCAAGCTGTGCCATGTCCGCACCCGGGATCCGAACTGGCGAACCCTGGGCCACCGAAGTGGAACATGCGCACTTAACCGCTGCGCCACCGGGCCGGCTGCACACATCCCCTTTGAGACCCTGTAACTCAGATACTGAGATACAAAGTTAACTATTACACATCTTATGGTAGGTGAGAAGGGGACAAGAGAGGGAATAACACAAAGATATTTGGTTAACACACACGCGCAGACATTTCACGTCAAAACAGGGAAGAAACGCTCATAGCCGTTGCGGTCCTCGTGTCTGTGACCGGTCGCGTGGTCACGGCTGGTATTTACAACCACCGTCTTCCTCTTCCCATTCTGTAGCCCCCTGTGCCCACTAGGCACCTCGGCTGGTCCTGGTTCTTTGACCCCAACCTCCATTCCTGAAGGTTCTGGCCGCTAGCAGTCCTGCTGGAGTTGGGTTGTGTCGTTTTTCCATTGACGTCCGTCACAGGGAGCAGAAGTCCTCTGAGACTCCGGGCACATCCTTCCTTTTTCCCTTGGATGGGCAGGACCGGGACAGTGCCCTCTTCCGTGCCTGGCGGTTGGGGCGGGAGGAGCCCGGAGGGGCGGGGCGGCCGTCTTAGTTTCCAGGGCGACGGGATGCTCGTGTCTCTGGTTAGCATCCTTCCTCCCTTTGGCACTTGGGCGTCTTGCTGGTGGATCTCTAAAGGTCATAGTAAGCGGTCCCATGCCACATCCACCCCGTGGTCCCCAGACACAAGGCTGCTGGCCCTGAGAGAGTCACCCCACGTATCAGACTCATTTCGAGCCTCCTGGGGGATGCTGCCACCGCCCCACAAGCTGGCCCCTGAGCTGCGTCTTCAGAAGGCTGTCCCACCATCTGTCCAGCTGGCTGCTTCGGTGGCCGCGAAGCTCATAGTCGTGGTGGCAGTGGCCTCTTGTTGGTGGACAGTGGCCATGGTGATGGTGGCCATGATGCTGGTGGCAGCTATAGAGCCAATCACCCTCGTTATAGTGACAATGAAGGTGACTGCAGTGGCCATGACAGTGATGATAATGGCCGTGATGCAGCGGCATTGCAGCCACGGCGGTGGGGATGGACAGAAGGCAGCGTGATGGCCGCCATGATGCTGGTGGACCCGGTGGCCAAGGTGATGACAGACCGTGGACGTGGTGATGGTTGTCACGGGGTTGGGTGCTGTGGTGCACTGTGGCCGTGGTGATGGACTGCGGCCCTGGCGTGGCGGCCGTGGCCGTGCGTGGGCTGGTCCATTCTCACCCAGTGTCTCTGGGTTTAGCGGCAGAGGAGCCAGTCCCGGACGATCGCTACCACGCCATCTACTTTGCGATGCTGCTGGCTGGCGTGGGCTTCCTACTGCCATACAACAGCTTCATCACCGACGTGGACTTCCTGCATCACAAGTACCCAGGTGGGTCCCCCGAGTCACGCCCCCGCACACCCGCCACCCTCTGGAAACCCCACGGGCAGGACCCTGCTGGGGAACCCGTGTTATTCAAATCCTGGCTCGGTAGTGAATTGCTGAGTGACCTCAGGGCAGCCGCTCACCCTCTCTGGGCCGTCAGCCCCTCTTGGGCAGAGCGAGGAGGCAGCGCCTAGTGGGGGTGGGCTCCCCCTGAGCACCTGTGGCTGGCCGACCCCCGCAGGGACCTCGATTGTGTTCGATATGAGCCTCACCTACATCTTGGTGGCACTGGTGGCCGTGCTCCTGAACAACGCGCTCGTGGAGAGACTGAGCCTGCACACCAGGATCACCGCCGGTACGCACCGCCGCCCCCCACCCAGATCCTGGTGCCCACCTGCCCGGCCCCTCCCTCACCCCCTTCCTGTCTGTGCTTCCCTCTCCGGACCTGTGAAACGGAATATGTGGGGTTCGCTGAATGAGTGTAGGGTCAGGCCTGCAGCGGTGCACACGTGACAAGGATCCCTGGCCCCGGGGAAGGGGGGCTCTTGTGCGCCCCACAGTGTGTCCAGGCCCACGCTCTTCCGTGGCCTGGTCTGCTCTTCCTTTCCCGTCCGTCTTCATGGCGACCTCCAGCTTCAAGGCCCAGCTCCAACGACACCTCCTCCAGGAAGCCTTCCAGGTGGCCCTCTTAGACCCTGGCCCTGGCCCTCCCAGAGTTAAAGGGAAGGGCAGAGAGAGAGGCCTCTCAGAGCTGGCTCCACAGGAGGGGTGGGATGAGGGGGAGCCCCCCCAGCTGCTCATGGCCCCCCGCTCCGGTTTCTCCCCCGCAGGCTACCTCCTGGCCTTGGGCCCCCTCCTGTTCGTCAGCATCTGTGACGTGTGGCTGCAGCTCTTCTCTCGCGACCAGGCGTATGCCATCAACCTGGCCGCCGTGGGCACTGTGGCCTTCGGCTGCACAGGTAGGGCCGGGCGGGCTGGGGCCCAGCGTCGGAGTGCCACCGTGGCCGTGCATCCCGCCCCGTTCGCGTGCGGGGTGCGTGTGACACGAGACAAGCCGGGCTCCAGGCCAGGACGTGTCCACAGGCACACTCCACATGCGTGCTCACACACAGCACCTGCCCCCACGCGCGTGCTCACACACAGAGCACGCACAGAGCACATGCGTGCACACACATGGTGCACAGAAAGAGCGACTGCCCCACACGCATGCACACACAGTGCCAGAGCACATGCACTGTGCACACGTCCACACCCCCCGGGTGCCACATGGACCCTGGAGCAGTTCCCCGGTTTCTCGATATAACCTGGCCTTCAAGGACCATCTTGCACATGTCACTATGTCACCGTGTTTTTCTTGGGTAGTGGCTTCCAAACTAATTATTTTAAAGCTTTTTATTTTGAAAATATTTCAAACCTACAGAAAGGGTGCGAGAATAATAGAATGAACTCCGCAGGCCCTTCCCTCAGATCGCCAATTGTTGACTGAGAGAGGTTACACTCTAGTCTCAAGTGACCCGGAAATCTCAGTGGCTTCACAGAACAAGACTTGCGTCCGGCTCTCGCTGCATGCCCAGCACATCGCGGGCGGCTCTGCTCCATGCAGTCGCTTGGGACTCAGGTTGACTGTGGCCCCTGTCTGTGACACGTGGCCTTTGGTCACCCCACTGGGGGGAAGAAAGAAAGGCTGGAAGTCCACGTGCGCTTTTCACGCCCTTGTCCAGAAGGGCCATGTGTCATTTCTGCCCATTTCCCATCGGCCAGAGATAGTCCAGGAGTCTGGCCAGCCCCGGGAGGCTGTGGGGGGCAGGACGCGCACTACATGAAGGGCAGTGCTGTTCCCCACGCCCTGCAGGGTGGTGGGACCATATCCCTCTGCCGCCAGTGGCGTTAGCGTCCCCGACCGTGCACACTCGCCAGCACGGTGTCCTCAGACTGGAATTTCGTTCCAAGCTGGCGGCTGATAAGCGGTGTCTCATGGTCCCTCCTCTCTCTCTCTCTTAAGTGCAGCAATCCAGCTTCTATGGGTACACGGGGATGCTGCCCAAGAGGTACACCCAAGGGGTGATGACCGGGGAGAGTGAGTATCTGCAAGCCCAGGAGGGGCAGGGGCTGTCGGCTCTGGAAGCCTCTTCCTGGGGACCCCCCACGATGTGCCCCCAACCAAGACCAGGCTCACAAGCTCCAGGCCTCCTGGGCTGGGGACAGTGACCAACGCCTCCCCTCGCCTGGCTGCTGGGGTCTCCCAGATGGGAGGGGCATGGCTGTGATGTGTGTACGGGGTGAGCCCCTTCATACCCAGGATGTCGCCAAGCTCTCCTCGGAGCCCCTCATCCGCTGCTTGGCTCCCCCACCTGGCTTCTCAGACCTCCCTTCCCAAGCCCACCTCATCCTCTCCCACCCGCCCCTGCTCAGCACACGGCCCCCCGTGCCCAGAACCGAAACTTACCAGCACCCCGTCCTTCTCCAAGGCGTGCGGACATGCCCTCCAGGCCGGCTCCTCACCCCAGCCCCTGATCCAGGCGACCGACCGCCTCTTGCCCTGCCACCCCTCTCTGCACAGGGGCAGCAGCACCCTTAGCCCAGCCCCGTGCTTCAGGGGCCCCGCGCTTCGAACCACCGTCCTCCAGTTGTCCCCCCGTTCCTTGCGTGCCTCGATGGGCTGGGGTCAGCCATGCTGTCCAGGCAGGCTGCTGGGCCCAGGCCTGGACCACGTGGGCTCTGGTCCCCATTCCTCCCCTTTGGGGCTTTCTGCCCCATCTCCCTATGATGAGGTTGACTGGATGCCCCCAGGGCTCCCGGCCTCTCGGCTGTGGACTTGGGTGCCAGCAAGGCAGCAGGCAGGCAGAGGAACTTCTGCGGGCCAGACACATTTGTCGTGCAGACAAGGGTGCTGCAGCTGCCAGAATGGTGCTGGCACGCCCATTTGGGGTGGCTTCTGTAGCCAGGGGCCCCCCAAAAAAGATTTGCTCGGAGTCCTGCTCACCCTCAGGGTGGCCCACAGTGGCCATGACCTGCCTCTGCCAGACACTGCCCAGTGGCTCATGGTCACCCTCAGACGAAACCCCCCAAATGCTGCCGGAGGCCGTGCTTTCTGCCATGTCCCCCACTGCCCCCCTCAACCTCAAGCTGTCCCCCACACCGTTCCAAGCCCCCCCACATTCTTCATCTCCTCAAACTGGATCATACAGAGCTCACCCAGCCATGCCCCAGTCACCGCGTGCCCCCTCATCATGTACAATTGTTGGAGTTTCCTGTGACTTTTGTGACCCTCCCCCCCAGCCCTGGGAAGGAAGGGCCTGTGAGCTGTCCCCACTGTGTCTTCAGGGCAGGATAGTGGTGGCACACAGCATGCACTCAATCCATGCTCCAGGGGGTGTGTGTGCGGCAGGCAGCAGGGCAGGGAGGGGTGGTCTGAGCAGCACCTTCTAGGGGTGGGGCTGTGACGACTGGGGTGGAGGCTGGGCCGGCCTGGAGTGGGGGCAGTGCAAACCTGTGGGGGGGGGGGACAAGGGGGTGGGGCTGAGTGGTGAGGGCGGGGCTGAGTGGAAGGGCGGGGCTCCGTGGAGGGGCGGGGCTGAGTGTGGAGAGCAGGGCTGAGTGTGGAGGGTGGGCTGAGTATGGAGGGCGGGGCTGAGTGGAGGGGGGCACTGAGTGGAGAGGAGAGGGGGGGGGGGGGGGGTGGGGCTGAGTGGGGGGGGGGGGGGCTGAGTGGAGGGGGCGGGGCTGAGTGGAGAGGGCTGGGCTGAGTGGGGGCGGGGCTGAGTGGGGAGGGTGGGGCTGAGTGCAGGGGTGGGGGGGCTGAGTGGGGAGGGTCTGAGTGGAGAGGGAGGGGCTGAGTGGAAGGGCAGGGCTGAGTGGGGAGGGCAGGGCTGAGTGGGGAGGGTGGGGCTGAGTGCAGGGGCGGGGCTGAGTGTGGAGGGCGGGGCTGAGTGGAGGGGCGGGGCTGAGTGTGGAGGGCGGGGCTGAGTGGAGGGGCGGGGCTGAGTGGAGGGGCGGGCTGAGTGGGGAGGGCGGGGCTGAGTGGAGGGGCGGGGCTGAGGGGGGAGGGCGGGGCTGAGAGGGCGGGGGGGGGGGGGGCTGAGTGTGGAGGGCGGGGCTGAGTGTGGGGGTGGGGCTGAGTGGAGGGGCGGGCTGAGTGTGGAGGGCGGGGCTGAGTGGGGGGCGGGGCTGAGTGTGGAGGGCGGGCTGAGTGTGGGGTGGGGCTGAGTGGAGGGGGCGGGGCTGAGTGTGGAGGGCGGGCTGAGTGGAGGGGCGGGCTGCGTGAGGGGGCGGGCTGAGTGCAGGGCGGGGCTGAGTGTGGAGGGCGGGGCTGCGTGGAGGGCGGGGCTGCGTGGAGAGGGCGGGCCCAGGCCATGCCCCGGTCCGGTCCCCCCAGGCACGGCGGGCGTGATGGTGTCCCTGAGCCGCATCCTCACGAAGCTGCTGCTGCCGGACGAGCGCGCCAGCACGCTCATCTTCTTCCTGCTGTCCGCCGGCCTCGAGCTGCTCTGCTGCCTGCTGCACCTGCTCGTGCGCCGCAGCCGCTTCGTGCGCCGCCACACGGCTCGGCCCCGCGACTGCCACCCGGCCGGGTCCCGCTACCGCGTGCACCACGACGTCGCCGCCGGGGACGTCCGCTTCGTGAGTCCGCGGCCCGGGGACCGGGGTTGGCGCCCTTGGGGGCCCGCGCATCCGTGGCCGGCGCCCCCTGGCTGGAGAGCAGGGTGCCCTCTGGTGGCGGCAGGTGCTGGGGAGGGCACGGGGGATGCAGGATGGGGGTGCTCCAGGGTCCCTGTAGGATCAGGCTCAGGAGACCGGCCCTCGGAGGGCATGGCGGGGCAGCCAGGCTTGTCACAGACGTTGATCCAGCGAGTCACTTGAGCTCTCAGCTGGGGACACTGCAGCGAGCCAGAAACGTGGTCCCCCATGGTGCCCAGAGATCTACAGACGGCCAGAGGATGGCGTGCTGTGACCAGGCCCACACAAGAAAGGAGAGAAACTAGGGGCCCTCTTAATAGTCAGGGAGGTGCCCCAAGGCGTGGCTTCTGGGCTGAGACCTGAGCCGTGTGGAGGGAGAGATGTGAAGATTCACAGGAAGGGTGTGGGAACAGAGGGAAGAGCCTGTGCGGAGGCTCAGAGGCTGGGTGTTTGAAGAGCAGCGAGGAAGGGAGGGTGGGCAGGAGGCCTCGAGGAGCCTGCCGCCCAAACCCCGTCCCACGTCGCCCTCCCTCCAGGAGCACCAAGGCCCAGCCCCGGCCAACTGTGGGTCCCCAAAGGACAGCCCGGCCCACGAGGTGACCAGCGGCCGCGGGGGAGCCTACACGCGCTTTGACGTGCCTCAGCGGAGAGTCAAGCGGAGCTGGCCCTCCTTCAGAGGTGGGGCCGGGGGTGGCACTCGGGCCAGCGGGCGGGTGGGGGGGGGGCCTGCAGGGCGCTGTCCCCTGACCCGCGGCCTGCCTCCCACAGCCCTGCTGCTGCACCGCTACGTGGTGGCCCGCGTCATCTGGGCCGACATGCTGTCCATCGCCGTCACTTACTTCATCACGCTGTGCCTGTTCCCGGGTCTCGAGTCCGAGATCCGCCACTGCATCCTGGGCGAGTGGCTGCCCATCCTCATCATGGCCGTCTTCAACCTCTCTGACTTTGTGGGCAAGGTGGGCCGCCCGCCCCGACCCCGGCCCCTGGCCCTGGTGGCGGTGGGGGACAGGGGGGACAGGATGCCACTGGCAGAGCCGTCAGACCACAGGGCCACCGCGGGAGGGTCCCCAGGGCGGGGCAGGCCCGGCGCTGACGATGTCCGGTGGGGAGGGTGGAATCAAGCAAGGGTGCCGTTTGAGATCACGGCCTCGGAGGGTGGCCCCCAACTGACCCCAGAGTGCTCTGGGTGTCAGCCGTGTCCCCGGAGCCGTCCTCCTGCTCCACGCTCACTAGTGAACGGGTCTGTGACAGCACAGGTGCGGGCGCTGGAAGTACCCCGTTGGCTCAAAGAGGCCAGGAGACTTCGAGCAGAGCGTCACGTGCCACGAGTGCAGGGTGGGGGTGGGAGCCGGAACAAAGCTGCCATTTCTGGGTCAGGCCTTCTCTAGATGAACGCAGAAGAGGCTCAGAGAGGGCAAGCCATTTGCGTGCAGTCACACAGCTAGAGGGCCAGGAAACAAGTCTGTGCTTCGAGAGGGAGCGCGGCTTCCTTAGCTGGCCCAGCTGCCCGTCCTGGTGCTCCCGCTGTGCGAGGTGACACAACTGGGCGTGACCCTCTGGGCCGCGGTGTCCTCATTTCTCCAGGGCCCCCGCCCGCAAAGGTGCCATGAGGACTGACAGGGGGACTTGGCAGGGTGGCAATGGGTCCAGGCTCGCGGCAGGCCTATGCCGGCTGTAAGGAGGGGTCCGGGGGTCCAGGGGATGGGCCAGGCCGGCGGGCCCTCACGCCGGGCTCCCCGCAGATCCTGGCGGCCCTGCCCGTGGACTGGCGGGGCCCGCACCTGCTGGCCTGCGCCTGCCTGCGCTTGGTCTTCATCCCGCTCTTCATCCTGTGCGTGTACCCGAGCGGCGCGCCCGCCCTCCGCCACCCCGCCTGGCCCTGCGTGTTCTCGCTGCTCATGGGCATCAGCAACGGCTACTTCGGCAGCGTGCCCATGATCCTGGCGGCCGGCAAAGTGAGCCCCAAGCAGCGGGAGCTGGCAGGTGAGGCCCCGCTCGGCCTGCCCGGGGGACAGCTCGGGAGCCCCCCTCCAAGCACTGTTCTAGGTGCTGGGGAGACAGTGGTGATAAAACAATGATCCCAGAGGAGCTGAGCAGTCTGGGAAGGCTTCGCTGAGGAGGTGACTTTTGAGCCAAGAAGTAGTGAGGGAGTCAGCCACATGATAATGCAAGGGAATAGCATTCCAGGAAGTGGGAATAGCATGTGCAAAGGCCCTGAGGCAGAAGCAGCAGTGTGTGCCAAGGGCGGGGGAGGGAGGAGGTGGGAGGGTCGCTGTGAGGCTGGGTACGGAGGAGGGACAGGGTCTGACTGTGGACCCCTTTGGTGCTGTTCAGACAGCGAAGAGGGATCAGGCAGAGAAAGGGCATCAGTGAGGAGCTACTGCAACAGTCCTGGCCCAAGAGGCCAGGGGCATGGACCAGGGCGGGGGTGCCGTGGGATCCTGGATCTGTTTTGACAGGAGAGCCTGTAGGCCCGGCTGACAGACTGGGAGACAGGGTGTGAGAAAGGGACACAGGATCAAGAAGGACTCCCCAGATTGGGGCCTGCCGCTCAGGGGAACAAGCTTGGATTGGCGTCCACTGAGCTGGGGAGGGGGCGTGGTGGGAGGGGCACTGGATTTGGGGACCAGACCCAGGAGGTTGGAGATGCCCAGCAGACACCCCGTGGTGTCTGGGACGAGGAGGCTGTGGAGATGGGAGGCTGGAGATGAAAGGAAGCAGGCAGGGCCCGGGGCGCCCCATGTGTTCAAACGGGGGACAGTCCTTAGATAGCCACCTCCCGGGAGCGGGCGGCGGTCACCGCTGTGGTCCCCCGAGGGCCGCACACTGCCCCGTCCCTCAGTCCCTCCATCCCTCGGGCTCAGTCCGGCCTCGTCCACAGGGAACACCATGACCGTGTCCTACATGACGGGGCTGACGCTGGGCTCGGCCGTGGCCTACGGCACCTACAGCCTCACGCGGGGCGCCCGCCGCAGCTGCTTCCCCGCCACCGCCAACGCCTCGCTCCCCGCCGGGCCCTGAGCCGGGCCCGCCACCTGCAGTGCCTGCTGCCACCCGGGGCCCCACCAGCCCTGCGCCCTCTGGCTGCACCCAGGGGCCCCAGCCCTGGGGGGGTCACTCACAGCCATCCCCACCCAGGAGAGCAGACACCAGCCAGTGTCCCCGCCTGGAGGCCCCCGCCCCCCTTCACACCATCCGTGGCACCTGTGAGGGTGCACCTGAGCCAGCCCTTCCTTCATGGGGGCCCCTCGTCCTGAGCGTGAAGACCTCAGTGGAGAGGGTCCATCCCCAGCCTTGTTACCCCACGGCCTCTGCCTGTCCCCTGCTCTCAAATGCTGGTTCTCCAGAACAGAACGCATCTGCCATAATGGGATCGTAGCCCGGGTCTGGACGGGCTCGGACTGCGGTCCACACCGGCCCCTCTGTGACCACGGCTTTGGTGCACCCACAGCTGGGCACACCCATGCCACCCACCCTGGCACCCACCTGAGGCTGCGGGCCTGGGGGGTCTGTGCCTGACTGGGGACCCCCATCGACTTCTCCGGCCCCTCCACGGACTCCTCCTGTGACCGTGATACAGGAGTGGGCACAGTATGGGGGCCGCAGAGCAGGGCCCCACGCCCTGACTGAAAGCTTGACCCAGGCCTTGCTCCACATGGGGCGAGGCCCAAGGAGGGATGTGACATGCCCACCAGTCCCAGGAAAGTCAGGAGGGGCAGAGGTCCCACGCAAGCCCGGACCCTCCAGAGCATCCTGCCAAAGACGGGCTTTTCCAGGGGGCGCCTGGCCTGCCCTTGCACACCCACGGCGCAGCCGTGCCCACCCCCCCACTGTGTCCTGTCCACGTGTCTGTCCACTGACTGTACCGCACTGGCCATTAAAAGATGAAGGCAGAGATGCCCCACCACCGCCTCTGGAGCAGCGTCTATGTGGGCAGGGCTACCGCCGCCATCTGGGGGCAGGGGTCCTGGCGGGACAAGGCCACCCTCAGAGCTGGGCCCTGCCTTCCCGGCTGTAGGGCCCACCTGTGCGCAGGCCTGAAGTTTCTGGGGTTGGGGGGCGTCAGGCAGCAGGAGGGTGTCGCACCTGGGGGCCGGGCCGGTTTTGTGTGGAGGGCTGAGGACGGGGGTATTTGGGGTTTGGACGGCGCCTCGGTGGCCCTTGTGTCCTCGGGTCAGCTGGGCCCCGCCCCCGGGGCTCAGCCGGGTCCTGAGGCTGAGGGTCTGGGCTCCAGTCCCGACTCTGTTGCTGATTCGTGTGATGGGGCCCAATCCCCGCTCTGTTCGGTGCCTTAGTTTCCCCGAGGTGTGGGGTTGGTCCCCTCTTTGGTATAGGTCCCTCGCGGGCTCGGGGACCCACCCACCGGCAGGCCCCGCCCCCGGGAGCCCCGGGCGGCCACGTGGGCCGGGACCACGAGGGGCGACGCCGCAGGGGCAGCCAGCCAGGTGTCGCCGGCGCGCTGCTCCTCCCGCGACTCGGTGTGGGCGGGGCCGCCCCCGCCGGGACTCAGTTTCTCGGAAACGCCCTTCCCCGGCCAGAGCCGAGCTGGCCGCCTTCTGTGTTAACGCTTTCAGTTGCCGCTGTGACCTCTTCCCGCGGCCCTGAGATGACACAGCCCAGAATGTCGTCCGCGTCCCATGCACACCGAGCGCACCGGGTCGCCGGGCGGTACCGCGGGGTCAGGCTGGGAGCTGACCTCGGGGAGGGAGGGGGCGGCAGCGCCAGGACCCCGGCCCAGCCTCCCCGCCCCTGCAGCCCCTCCCCTCTGCACCGGCTCAGGGCCACTCAGACCACCAGCATCGTCGTCGTCAGGCGTGGACCTGGCTGGGCGCGCTCAGCTGTCATTTTAAAGGAAGAAAAAGGAGATGCGCCCTCCAGCCGCGCACTGACCAAGAGTAAACTTTCTACGCTGATGGGGACCGTCTCCACCTCGGCTACCCTAGACAGTAGCCATTCGCCACGTCTGGAAACGTGGCCGGTGCAACCGAGAAACTTCTCCGGTCCCTTCGTGTAAAAGAGCTGAATTTCAAACGCCACGTGTGGCCCGTGCGCACTGGACTGGGCGGCCCCGCGCCCCACCCCGCCCCAGAGCCCACCCGGGCCCCTGAAATGAGCCACTACAGACAACGGTACTTTTCCAATGATAGCTTTTTCTTTTCTTTTCTTTTTTTTATGAAAAAGATCACACAGAATTCGCCAACAAACAAAATTCCAAAAGAAACTTAAAAAAAAAAAAAAGGAAAACAATAATTCCCCCAAAAAACAAAACCGAAGTCTGGCTTTTCCTTCCCTTAAGATTGTCTGGACGAGGCCGCCCGGCCCTGGGCGCGGGGCGCTAAGTGCCGGCGGGGCAGCTCGCTCGCCCCTCAGCCTCTGCTCTCCCTAACTCTCTCCATCCTGGGGGCGAGGACAGGACACCTGGGCGGGCGGGGTGTGCTGGGGACGGGGGCCCGTGAAGCTGGGTGCTAGACACTCACGATCTAACAGGAAATAAAAAATAATATTCTGCACGTCAGAATGTGTTCGTTTTTTTTTTATAATTTCATAGCTATTTTTCACAGTTTTAAAAAGTTTATATTTATATATATTTATATATATTTATCTTTATATATATAATTAAAAAGTGGCCTCCTGGAAAGGCGTATGATACAGGGCAGGGCTCGTGGCCGGTACAATAAAACTGTACAGGTCCCGAGGGCCGCCTCCTCTGGGCGGCGGCGAGGCCTGCAGCACCATGGGGTTGTCTGTAGTGTGAGGCTCGGGGCCCCCTCCCGGGCTCCGTCCCCCGAGTCCAGGCCGTCCTGAGGGAGGAGGCCGGCCCACGGCGGGAGGCTTGGGGTGGGCTCCATGCCAAGGGGGCAGGACTGGGGAGCTCCGGGGGGACTGCGGGTGGCCCACGAATGACCCCCAGTGCCGCGGCCCGGGCTGGGGGGCCCGCCTGCTGAGGGCGACAAGGTGCTGGAGGGAGGCCCCGAGGGGGGCGGGCAGAGCCCCACGCTGGCAGCGGAGGGGAGCCCCTGTCCTGGGGCCACCGAGGAGTTGGGAAAGGGGGCTGGGGACGTGTGCACATGTGCGCACACACGTGCATGCATACAGGCACACACATGTACACACTCACGCGCGCCAGGGCACCCACGGGCACACTCGCATGCACACACCCGACGCACGTGGCCCCCGAGCCATGGCAGTGATGGTGAGGGGCCCTGGGTGGCAGGCGGGCGCGGGCGCTCAGCAGAGCACGGGCACGCCGTCGGTGGAGAAAATCATGCCCGTGGTGGGCTCGTAGGTGCCCGCGAGGTAGTACAGGCCCTCGCTGTCCTGGTACTTCTTGGTCTTGAGCATCTGCTCGTACTGCTCCAGGCCCACCACCAGGCACTTGTGCGACACCGTCTGCACATCATTCTCGTCCACGTGGGAGGACTGGTACAGGGCACGCTGCGGGCATGATGGGCGGCGTCAGGGGACAGGAAGACCCCCCGGTCCAGAGGACCAGAGAAAGCCTTGAAGGCAGAGAGCCAGAGACCGAGAGAGACAGACCCCCCCCCCCGAGAGACACAGAGACGGAGAGACACAAAGACACAGAGAGACCCAGAGACAGAGAAAACCCCAGAGACTGAGACACAAAGAGAGAGACACAGAGATACCCAGAGACAGAGAGAGAATACCAGAGACTGAGAGACACAGAGACAAAGAGACAGAGTCAGAGACACATAAAGACACAGAGACACCTAGAGACAGAGAGAGACTCAGAGGCCAAGAGACACAGAGATGGAGACTCAGAGACAGAGAGATCCCCAGAGAAACCCAGAGACTGAGAGACAGAGACCCAGAGACATACAGACCCCCAGAGAGACCCAGACTGAAAGAGACAGAGCCTGGGAGACAGAGACCAAGAGAGACACAGACCCCTGAAGAGTAAGAGCCGGAAAGCGACAGACAGAGGCAGGACCCGGCAGGGCAGCCCGGGGACCGGAGGCTGGGGCCCGCCCTCCTACCTCCATGAAGTCCTTCCTCTGGCTGGAGGCCCGCAGGGCCGCGGGGAGGCTGCGGCCGGACTTCTGGTCCCAGTGCTGCGGGCGACAGACGGGGCGGTGTGAGCCCGGCCGGCCCCACCCGCCCCGCCCCGCCCCGCCCCGCCCCGCCCCGGCCCGGCGCCCACCTGGCCCTCGTGCAGGCGCTTGCCCGGGCTGGTCTCCTCGGGGTGGTAGAACCACTTGACGCGGACCACCATGTTGCTGCCCCAGGACTCCCACATGCTCTGGATGCGGCCGATGTAGGGCAGGTTGGGGCGGCCGGCCGACAGGAAGACGGCGCAGTCGCCGATTCGGATCATCTCCTTGCCGCGCACGATGGCCTTGTAGAAGAGCTTGCGGGCCTTGCCCTTCATGCCGCGGCGCTGCGGGACACGGCGGTCAGGGCGCGAGGCGGCCACGGGCCAGGCAGCCCCTTCCTGCTCTAACCGGGGCCCTCTCATCTCCGGCACCCGGCGTCCCCAAGAGGGACTCCGTTTACACTCAGCCTCGCGCAGCTAAGCGGGTCTGTTCCAGAGCCATGCGGGCCAGGGCCGCCCCGAGGCCGCGGACCCTGCTCCCGCCGCTGGCCTTCGAGGCCCGGCAGCCCCTGCTCTGATCCCCACTTCCCAACAGGGCGGGGAGGGCCGGGGAGGAGACGGGGATAGCGAAGCCACGGGGCTCGCTCATGGCTCCACCTCCCCCGGCCATCTCACGTGTGGGGGCCACCACAAAGCACTGATTCATTCAACACACCCCCGGGGGGCCACAGAGCTCGCCACTCACTGCGTAGCCTCCACCTACACTGCCACAAAGGGCGCAGGGGCTCGGCATGACTCAACCCTCCATGGCCTGACCAGGGGCGCGGGAGCAAGGGGCACGGGCTGAGGGCTGTCCTTGGGACGTCAACGCCCAGGCATGGCCGACTGCCCCTGGAGAGGGAAGCTGCTGACGAAGGGCAGAGCCCAGGCCCACAGGATCCAGCACTGGGCCCACGTCTGCCAGGCTGCCAGGCCCCACGACAGGCTGGGCGTTTGTTTATTCACTCAACAAACATCTCCTGCAGTCTCCTCGGTACCTGAGCCTGGGCTGGCACTGGGACAGATGTGCAGGCTCTGAGAAGGGACCTAGCACAGCACCAGACAGCTCCAGGGCCTGTCACTGTCCCTAGGGGACGCCCCTGTCCTGACCCATGAACCCAAACCCAAGCAAAGCTCTGCCCTCCTGCGGAACAGGCATTTGCTCTCCTCAAACCAAGTCCTAAAAGTCATTTTCCCTTCTCACACTGGCTGCCAGGTGGCTCAATGGCAGTTTTGTTGCCTAAATAGTAGAAACCTCCATGCCAATTTCCTACCTAGCCAGCAGCCCCTTTTCTGCCTTTAATTCACTGGATTCCTGGTGGTGACAGGCTTTCTGATGTCCGAATAGCTAATTTCATGTGTTCCGTAAACTGCTCAAATTCTTTCCAGTTCAAGGCGTGGAGTAAATCAGTTCAAGATGAGAGCAACAGCTCAGACTCCTAAAGCGACTCTTTGACAGCAGCCAGGTTTCTGGCACCCAGCGGCTACTCCCCTTCCCACAGGGCCCACCCCGGTCCACAGGGTTCCCCAGTGGGGCTGATCCCATCCCTGGGGTGGGCACAGGACTCAGTCTGGCCAGTCCAAACATCCCATCCTCCTCCTGGAAAGTGTGATTGGCTCAGGGGTAGGGTGAGGACCCAAGCCACAGACATTCCACCAACTTTAGCCTGAACCCTTGGGACAAAGATACTTCCTTCCTGCTGTCACTTCTGAGCTGGTCGATCGTGAGCTGAAAGCTACTGGGGCTGCCTGAGAAGGAGACCAGTAGAAAGGAAGGAGAAACTGAAGCCTGGAGCACAGACCCAAGAGTGAGTCTGAAGACAGCCTTTGAGCCCCTGGATCCAGCTGTACCTGAAGCCAAACACCCCTGGACTTTTTTATTAAAGAGGCCAGTAAGTTTGGCCCTGTCCTCTGTTCTCTGCAGCTGTAAGGCCCTCAGTGACACTAACATTGGAACTTGCAAATGGCAGATGCTAAAATAAGGAATGGGTCGGTCACCATGGGGGCAGGACAGCAAGGATGTGCCTGTCCTTGGCTCAGAAGTTGTCACCACTTGGATGCCCCCTCAATAAAGCACCTGCAGGATGAGAGCTCCAGGGGGCCCAGTCTGGAATGTCTGGGTGAGGCTCCTTACAGAAGATCCTCGAGAATCTATATGTCAACTTTGCTGTCTCAAGAGGTGGCCTTGCCTAGAGAGGCTCTTTTGGCCTGGAGCCAGCAACGCAAGAGTGTGGGACGTCAGCTACCCCTTGTCCTGCAGGGCGGAGAAGCAGGGCACCCACCCCAGGTTCTAGTCAGGGCCTCAAAGGCAGGGTGGCCTAAGGAGAGCAGGAGCGGGAGGTGGGGAGCCCTCCTGGACCTCCTGCCTAGGGGCACAGCCTGGGGCAGATGGAGCTGTCCTCTCCCACTGGGCGGGGGGCGGAGTCTAAGTGTCCTTGAGGGTGTGGGAGGGCCTACAAGCTGCTAAGACAGAACCCAAAGCTAGAGTCTTGATTCAGACCATCCCTCGACTGTTCTGGCCTTGCTGACACACACCAGGGAGCTGAGAGAACACAAACACACCAGACGCTTCCCGAGCTCTTAAGAGGGGTGTTGCCAGAGACCCCACAAGCTCACTGCTGTCAACCCCCAAGGCCCTGGCTCGCCTGGCAGGACCACCTCAGGAGAGGTACAAAGCCCACAGGGCATCTGCTCCCAGCCCATCTCAGGGCGGCCTCCAAGGACTCTGGCCCAGCGACATGGATGCGGCGGGCAAAGCTGGCCGCTGCGCCTGTGGACAAGCTCACGTGGCTGGAGGACAAAAGCCCACAGGCTCTTCCTGTCCAGGGACATGGGACAGACTGGTGACTATAAAAGAGTTCCTCTCCTGCCCGTGGAAGCTCCGTGTGTGCGCATGAGTGCGCATGTGTGTACGTGCGTACATTCATGTACCTGTATGCATGTGTACACGTATGCGTGTGCATATGTACATACATGCGTTGAGTGTGTGCATGCATAAGTTTATGCATGCGGGTGTATGCATGTGTGCCTGTATATACGTGCACATATGGCTGTGTGTGCATGTGCACATGTGCATGTATGACTGCATGCACGTATAGGGCTGTGTGTATTGCACACATGTGCATGTGTGTTTGTGCCCACGTGTGTT